CAAAAAAAGCTTATTATTTGAAGGGCTGGCTAATATTACATTTAAAAGAACTGCCAAGCCGGTGAAGTGACTCACACCTGTAATCCCAGCAGTTTGGGAGGCTGAGGCGGGCAGACCACCTGAGGTCAGAGAGATCACCTGAGGTCAGGAGTTCACGACCAGCCTGGCCAATATGGTGAAACCCCATCTCTACTAAAAATACAAAAGAAAGCTGGGCATGGTGGCCAGCAACTGTAATCCCAGCTACTTGGGAGGCTTAGGCAGGAGAATTTCTTGAGCCCGGCAGGTGGAGGCTGCAGTCAGCCGATATTTTACCATTGCACTCTAGCCTGGGTGACAAGAGCAAGACTCCATATATATATATATATAAGAACTGCTAGTGTTATACAGAAAGATCCATTTACATCAAAGGCATGATTGTTGTGACAATATAATTGAGTATCTAAACTAGGGCACTTTTGAAAGTGAAAAGGATACTGTTAATACAATACATTTGGCCAAAAGGACTAAATCAGTGCTTTTCTAGAACAATTGAAGAATATTGTTACCCCAGTGTTGACTGTTTCCCCAAAATGTTGATGTTAAGGACTCTAGAACAACTGCTTGTAGAGGTGTATTCACTGTGTACGTGTGTGTGAGTGCGTGTGCTAACTGATTTCCTGCAGGCCTTCTTCAGTCATTTGCTCACTGAATCAAGTTAGTGAAGCTGCTGATTATTTGTATCTGTGGGAAGTTCAAGGGCAGCTGACAATTTCCAGTAGCTATCAGCTACCATGCAGGCATGTAAAACCTCAGGATCCACAACTGATAATGAGGTGGGAATCAGACGTACTGAGTGATGTCTGCACACCCTGTGGTTCTGTTACTGAAATAATGGAACCACTTTTACTCTGTTTCTCATCAACACCTTTGCATTTGATCTTGCAGAGTTGTTAGATTGCTTGCTCACACTCGAGACTTTTCCGGAAGACATACAAAATTGCCCTAAAGTGGAAGTGGTTGCCTATACAGTGTGATTTGTCTATCAGTCAATGACTAGTACATGTGGCTGTTTCTCCCAAAGTCAGACTAATAAATTATTTACAGGGAAGAGTGGGCATACTAAAAATTAGAATTATAAGCAAATTTGAAGCAGGAAAGGCCCTCTGGAGAAGGTAATACTTGAACCGAGATTTTAAGCATAGGTAGGCATTATATAGGCAGAGAAAAATAGAAACAAGGTCCAGGCAAATAAAACAGCATCAAATGTGCTGAAGTTTCAAACAGCATGAAAAATTCAAGAATATCCAAGTTGATGGGCATTACTACAGAGAGGAGTGTGTGAGGGGAGAGGGTGGGAAAGTGATGATAAAGAATTTTCCTTTACTTGAGTTTCTCTGTTGTATTGTGAGTATGCTACATGGCCTCTGGTCTAAACTATGTAATCAATTAAATATAGACAAGGAAATCAGGACAAGCATCAAGTTTGTCACTATTTTTAAAGAAAATTGCAAAGATAGCAGGGGTCTTACTTAGCGCAATGTTATTGTAATTTGTGCAAACATTATACATTTTTAAATGTTTTTGCATTGTTAACGAATTCAAACATATACCATAGAAAGTAATAGGAGCTTGAATTGCAATATATTTGAGTAGTATTTGTTAACACTCACGTATCGGTTAGCTTTTACTGAGTAACAAACCACTGTAAAACATGGTGGCTTGAAACAGCAATCCTTTATTATTGCTCATAAGTCTGTAGTAGGCTGAGCCCATTCAAGCATCTGTAGTCCACTCTGGGTGGATAAATGCTGCTGCGGATCTCATTTATGTTTGCTTGCTTGAGATTGACTGGCTGTCAGCTGGTCTAGAATGCTTTGTTTTCTCCCCATAGTCTCTCATTACTTAGGAAGCTTGCCTGAGTTCTTACAAAGGGAGAAAATATGGTGGGCCTTGAAAATTGAAAGCAGATGAGGATGGAGACTAGCATTCCAACGCTCAGCAATACTCAGAACGAAGGTCAGACCATGTATGGAAAGTTAGAAGAGATAATAAAGAAAAGACGCCCACTGAAGCTAAGGGATATGTATTAGTCATCTACTGCCAAAATAATGCCACATAGGATACTGCCAAAACCTCCGTGGCTTATGAGCGCAAGTATTTATTGACTGTGGTTTGACTGATCTGGGCTTGGCTTGACTGCAGGATTCTGATCCAAACAACTATCTTCTGAAATTGGCTCCAGGCTGTGGATAATTTTAAAATAGCTCCATATGTATTCATTCTTGGACTCAGGTTAAAGGAGCATCCAACACCAGGGTTAGCTCTCCTCTGGCAGAGCACTATAGTTTAAAATCCAAGCCAGATTACATGTCACATTCAAAGTCTCTGTTTGCATCACATCTCCTAATTTTCAATTGGCCAAGTTAATCACAAGGCCACACTCACTATCAACAGAGCAGGGACATACACTCCACCTCCCCTGAGAACGTGGCTATTTAATAAACAATAATCCAAAATATCAAAGGGTATATTTGGTACAGTAAGGGAGAAATGAGGACATAAGATAGAAATCAAGTAGCCATATGATTTAAGCTGAAAAATTAGGTTAAAATCATAGTATGTGAAGCACCTGGCATTTTCCAAAATGGCCACAACAATAATCCCCTATTCCCTACGCTCCTGTAGAGATATAATGTTACATTGACGCTCCTCCCATCAAGAGTTAAGGTCTGTATCTGCTCTTGATTGTGGACCAGCCTTGGTGACTGGTTTACCAAAAGCATACGGTGAAGGTGAAATTATGTTATTTTCAAGCCTAGATTTTCAGAAGCCACATGGCTTCCGCCTGCTTCTCTAGAACAATCACACTAGGGCCCTTAGCAGCAGTGAAGCCATCTGACTCTACCAAGCCTATGAAGCTTGGAAGAAGTGCAAATCAGCACAGGTAGAACTAGCCACAGGGAGAAACTCTGATATTGCATGAAGGGAGGGAGATGCCAAACTCACCCCCCGCTGTTTCAATTCCACTGTTCCAACTCCAGCCTTCTGATTATAACCTCATAGAAGGTGCCAGGCCAGGACTACCCAGCTAAGCACCTTGCAGATTCCTGACCCTCAGAAACTGTGAGAAATAGTAAGAGGATTGTTTGAAATCACTGTTTTGAGATGATTTGCTCAAAACAAAGCAAGGTCAACAAGGTCAAATGTTAGTTATCAGAGATTGTATAATCTAGCTACCCATTTTGAAAGAGAGACATTCCTAACTGCTTTTCAGTTGGAGATACTACTTCACATTATTGAAAGTAATGACCTAAATTAACTAAGTGAACTGACATGCCATATATATATATATATGGCAGGGCATAAATATTAGGGAGAAAAATTTGACCTGTTTAATAGGAAAGAAAGAACAACAAATTTTTTTTTGAGCAAAGAATAGCAGGATACATACAGTGTTTTAAGGAGTTCAGGCAAAGGGCAGCATGGGATCACTTGAGGACAGGAGTACCTGGAAGCAGGGAAATGATCTCAGAGTGTTCCTGACAGCAAATGCACACACTTTGGCAATTCATATTTTAGAAAAGTTAAATGTGTCAGTTTTTGGGAACTTATGTATATTTTATAGATCTTGACCTCTTAAATGGATACACTATTGAGTCATTTTATGAAAAATACATTTACCTCCTAGTAAATCTGCTTGTTAAATGTGGGTTTCTATTAATTGGTTCAATTATTTTACTAATTAGTCACTTTTTGTTCATTTTCTTAAAAAATCTTCACTTAAAACTGCTATTGTGTGGAAGCCAAGAGGTTTTTCTAGTATTCCATCATAAAAAATGAATAAGCTATCATTAAGCCTTTTCCTAAAAATGATTAAAAACAACAAGATTTAGTATACATTTCAGCAATTAGTAGATTTCATGACAGTACCCTTAAGTCCAGCATCATTAACTCATCTATTTTGCAGTGTAGGGAAACCGATTCATATTTATATTGTTGCTGATGCTTCATAGACATCTCAGACTGTGAAGCCTGTGATTTGTGATACGTGTAGCCCGTGTGTCAGTTGTTACCTTTGTCATTGAGGATCACCTCCTTCTATCACATTAGAAGAACAGGAGGGGTCTTCTCATAGCTGCCCTTGTTATGTCCAGCATGCAGCTCCTCCCAAACACAACGTGGCCTTTCTCTTTGCACCTGCTTCACTGTGAACCTTCACTCACTTCACTGATGTGCACCAAGTGGAGCCGCTTGGCAAAGACCCTTCAGTTCATGCCATTGCCTGCATTCCAGGCTTGCTGACAGGTACATGTGGGGTGGGCCATTCATCCCTTCGTTGCTTGGTGCTTTCATTTTCAACAGTTCTATTCTGAAAGCTCCAGAAAGTATGCATCAGATGTTACCTAATGGGGCTTAAGGGAAATTTTAAACTAGAAGGGGAAAAGTATGAACTGCACACCAGATATTTGATTCCTAGTGCCCAAAGTACACTCTAGAATGTAAACATTTTTATGTTTGAGTGTTCTGGAATGCCCACCTTGGTCCTGTCATTGCCTCTTTTTGAGAGAGACTTATTTTTCTTAACTCCATCATTAAAGTTTTACTCTTCTTTTGTGAAATCCCCTTCACTATTCATAGATTCAGCCCCAGGATCCAGCCTTTCGCTTTACACTTACATTTTTCAAGGTCAAGAGTATTTACTGATTCAAGGGCAATGAAGGTGGTGACAGCAGGATGGTCTGTGGTGGCATTTAGCATACCAAGTACTGTAAGTGGTTCGGGGGTGAACGCTCCAAGTATTATCCCCTTCCCTGTTAATTCACCCATGTAAATTGCAGGCTAGTTACTCTTCAGATTTCATAATCTCCTCCTTCTTCTTCATTCCCATCTTTCAAGGTCAAATGTCAGCTATCGGAGATTGTATAATCTAGCTCCTCACTGCAAAAAAGAAACATTCCTAACTGCTTTTATGTTGGGGATACTACTTCACATTATTGAAAGTAATGAATTAAATTAACTAAGTGAACTAACATGTAAATGTTAGCCATGTTTGTTGCCAGCCATATTAGTTCACTTCGTTCAATTTTTTCCTGCATTTCTTCTATATTTTGTCCTAACAGATCAGTTTAGACATAGAAACAGATCTGCTGATGACCCACTCACCCTTTAAAATGGCCACTCTCTTTAGCTGAAGAGAGGATATTGAGAGACCTAGAAATTTGTTCAATTAAACATTGGGTCAGGCATGGATTTTCTCAAACCTGTAATTTCAGCATTTTGGGATGCTGAGGTGGGAAGATTATTTGAGAATGGGAATTCGAGGTGGTAGTGAGGCTATGATCATGCCATTGTGCTCCAGCTTGGGCGACACAGTGAGATCCCATCCAAAAAAAAATAAAAAACAAAAATGGAAGATACCTAACCATTTCTTGTCTGGGAAAAAGGATTGTTTTATTTTCCATGAAATAGAACTTCTGTAATAACTTGTTTTGTTTACTGCATATTTTATCCTATTTTATGGTTTATTAACGAGTTTAGAATATATTAAATGACTGAGGGATTGCCATACGAAGGTTTCGGATGAAAGCATGCAGACAGAAACATAGGTGTTGTAGACACAGAAATGACTTCAGAATGTTTGAGGCAGGAAAAGACCAGTGTGGCTGGAGTGGAGTAGAGCTTCTCCTTATCTTCCAAATAACTTTACTTTAGAAAGCAGAGGATGGAGGGGGTGAGCAGGTCTCATATGCAACATTTTGTTTTCCTATTTGGAAAAAGAATTATGTTTAGAAGGAGGTTTAGATTCTTCTCTCTTGATCATCAACTATGCTTAAGAGCCATCTTCTGTAAGGAAAGATTGGAGAAAGAAAAGAATGTTGGTGACGGAGAGTCATTTAGGACATTCTGCACCTCTTCAGAAAGAAGGAATAAAAGATTCAACTATTTCACTTGGAAAATTTGACCTGGCTCTTTGACATGTTACTATGGTTTTCTGTGGTGCCGATGTTGAAACCTGTTGTTTGCTAATATACTGTTCTTTTCTTTCTGGGAATGCAAGCCTGTAATGTATTTAATGGTTCAGGTAGAACAGCGGGGTAAGTTTACTAGTAAAAGATTTTGGGTAAAGAAGTAGGAGAGAGAGACTGGCATGATGTTAGTGTCAGCAGGCAAACAGTACCGCTGGAGGGCATGTTGTCTCCTGTCAATCACAAAGTTCTCCCAGCTATCAATCACTGGGATGCCTAGGTTCTGCCAAAACTCAGGAGACCTGCCAAGGACTTTGGCAATGCTGCATGCTCTGTGCTGGAGATTTTTTTTTTTTTTATAAGCAGCATAAAACTCCACAAAACTATTGTTGAAGTGATTAAAATATGACAATATGCTTGTTTAAAGTCTTTAAACCAAACGATGCATTTTCTTCTGCTCTTCTGATGACCAAATTCTTTCTAGTATGGTAATTGGTTTTCATGTAGTTTTTAACTTAAGAATAGCTATACCTGTACAGAAGGCTCTGAGTTAAGGTGATCTTTTTCAAATTTTAGGCATGCTGGAGAGGATGATTAAAACAATTTAATTAAAATAATGAAAATAATTGCTAGGCTTTAATTAAGGTCATTAATTTCAATGAGTTTAAGTCATTACTTTCTCTCATACACACACATATGTGAGTTTTGTTCACTGGAAACGTTTTGCTATGTTTTATACAATTCTTAAATATGGGATATTTCCACTCTAAAATGTATTTAACTTTAAAATATTCAAATTTAATTTTTAATTCAACTGAGTATTTAATTCAACTGCGAGATAAAATCAGAAGGCCTTTCTCTCTTTGCTGGTTGGTAGATACATGGTGTAGTTGCTTTCTCAGTTCACACATAGACTTTTGGGCAGTAATCATTGGAGTGATCAAACATGGAGAGCTGTATGCAATTGCCAAATTTTGAGTGATTGTTCTGTTTAAAGAGATAATTTAGATGTTAATTTGAGGGGCTAAAATAAAACTGGTAACATTGCCAAGAAGGAGAGAATACTGTTAAAGATAAAGCAGAATGAGATGCCCATTCATTTGTGCATAGATTGTTCACATTGCTCAGAGCTTGGAATACAGGACAAATGACTTCCCACCGAGCGGAGAGAAAGCTTCTACCTTCTTTCTCCCTTTTTCATGGAGCCATTAATTACACAGTCAAGCGTGACTGTTGTTCTTTACCTTATTCCCATTAATCTTGATTGAAGTCAACCCTTTGTAGCCCTGGATTCTGACAGCCTCAGAGCTGTTACCACTTTCTCCATAGCAGTGTCAACATTGGGTTCCTATTTCCATCTGCAATTGTGAGATTTTTAAGATGTATTATTGCATCTATAATTAGTGTACTTTTAGCCATTATTTTACACATAGAGAAACCGGATGATGTAAAAAAATTAAAAAGCTGTAAGTCTAGTACTTGAAAAAGTGACAACCACTATTAAAAAAAGAGGCAATGTTGAACACCTATAACACACACATATTTTCTTGAAATGTCAAGTTGATTATTTTTGCATAATTTAAATAAAACTGCCTAAGCTATCTATTATTAAATTCAGTTTTATCCTTTTATGGGTGAGTTCAGTCATTTCATTTCTGTCCATGAACACTGCCTAAGGAATCAAAGTGGTTTTGATTGTTGGTATAGAGAAATTGAGTCCTTGCTTTTATAGCAAGGATACAAGGATAGCAATTGTATCTCCTTACTCAATATCCTCCTTCACCCTTGCCCTCAAGAACATACTACAATATTAGGCCATCAGTCAACCCTCAATATGTATTTCGGATTAATGTGCAAACTGAAAAATAAAAGCTATCTATCTATCTATCTGCCTATCTAGCTAATATATCAAATCATCTACCATCTATTTTTATTTCTCTGTCTTCATTTTAATTTTGCCTAATACCCTATTTTTTACATTTTAATTAATTGTTAAATTGAAGTTTTTAGTTAGAATATATACAATGGTATTTTAATAAAGTTTTATGCTTGTATTTAAAAAACAAACAAACTGGAAGTGTTTAATTCTTTGTTGAGGATGAAAATCAAAAAGGTCCTAATAAGATTTTATTCAGAACCTTATTTCTAATTAGCATTTTGGTTTTGGCTGTTGTTTTAAAAATTGGGAATGGTTTTTACTATCTTTTTAAAAAATTTACACATACAATTTATTAGAAGTAATCATTTTCTTTAAGACATTAACATCTTTTTGTATGTATCTGTTTTTTAGTTTTATTTCAGTAGGTTTTTGGGGAGGAGGTGGTATTTGGTTACATGAATACGTTCTTTAGCGGTGATTTCTGAGATTTTAGTGCACCCGTCATCTGAGCAGTGGGCACTGTACCCACTGCGTAGTCCTTTATCCCTCTCCCTGCTTCCACTCTTTCCCCTGAGTCCCCAAAGTCCATTGTATCATTCTTATGCCTTTGCATCCCCATAGCTCAGCTCTTACTTATGAGTGAGAACATACAATGGTTTTCCATTCCTGAATTGCTTCACTTAGAATAATGGTCTCCAATTCCATCCAGGTTGCTGTGAATGTCATTATTTCATTCCTTTTCATGGTTGGGCAGCATTCCATGGTGTGTGTGTGTGTGTGTGTGTGTGTGTGTGTGTGTATACATATACATACAAAATATGGTGTATATATATATATATATACGTAAAATACCATATTTTATATGGTATATCATATATATACCATATATGGTGTGTGTGTGTGTGTGTGTGTGTGTGTGTGTGTGTGTGTGTGTTTCTTTATCCACTCATTGGTTGATGAGCATTTGGGCTGGGCTGATTCCATATTTTTGCAATTACAAATCGTGCTGGTATAAACATGTGTGTGCAAGTGTTTGTTTTCACATAATGACTTCTTTCCTCTGGGTAGATACCCAGTAGTGGGATTACTGGATTAAATGGTATATCTACTTTTAGTTCTTTAAGGAATCTCCACACCATTTTCCATAGTAATTGTACTAGTTTCCATTCCCACCAACAGTGTAAAAGTGTTCCTTTTCATCACATTGATGCCAACATCTATTATTTTTTTATTATGGCCATTCTTGTAGGAGAGAGATGGTGTCACATAGGAGTGAAATGTTATCACATTGTGGTTTTGATTTGCATTTTCCTCATCATTATCAATGTTGAACGCTTTTTTAAATGTTTTGTTGGCCATTTATATACATTCTTTTGAGAATTGTCAATTCATGTCCTTTGCCTACGTTTTGATAGATTTATTCTTGCTGATTTATTTGAGTTATTAGTCCTTTGTTAGATGTATAGATTGCAAAGATTTTCCTCCACTTTCTGGGTTGTCTGCTTACTCTACTGATTATTTCTTTTGTTGTGAAGAAGGTTTTTAGTTTAATGAAGTCCTAGCTTTTTTTTTTTTTTTTGTATTTGCTTTTAGGTTCTTGGTCTTGAAGTCTTTGTCTAAGCTAATACCTAGAAGAGGTTTTCCAATGTTATCTTCTACAGTTTTTATGGTTTCAGGCCTTAGATTTACATCTTTGATCCATCGTGAGATGATTTTTGTATAAGGTGAAAGATGAGGATCCAGTTTCATTCTTCTACATATGACTCACCAATTATCCCAGCACCATTTGTTGAATAGGGTGTCCGTTCCCCACTTTATATTTTTGTTTGCTTTGTTGAAGATCTGTTGACTGTAAGTATTTGGCTTTATTTCTGGATTCTCTATTCTGTTCCATTGGTCTATGTGAATATTTTTATACTAGTACCATGCTGTTTGGGTGACTATGGCCTTACAGTATAGTTTAAACTTGACGTGATATCTCCAAATTTGTTCTTTTTGTTTAGTCTTGCTTTGGCCATGCAGGCTATTTTTTGGTTCCATGTGAAATTTAGAATTGTTTTTTTAGTTGTGTGAAGAATGATGGTGATATCTTGATGGGAATTGGATTGAATTTGTAGATTGCTTTTGGCAGTATAGTCATTTTCACAATATTGATTGTGAGTGTGAGATGTTTCCATTTGTTGGT